CAGCCTGTGGCCTCTTGGGCCGCCGCCTGCCCGTGTGCAGAAGCTCCCGGCAGCAGGAGCACATGGGTGAGGAGGTTCCTCGCTTTCCTCTGGACAAGAAGCAGGAACAGGGAATCCAGAAGAGGCCTGGGCAGGCACAAATCCAAGGACCTGTTTCCAGGGATCTTCATCTAACTTCAGCCCCTCCACTTTCAGTAATGCCATGGCATCATCATCCACCCACCAAGCTAACATCCCCGTTCACATCGGTCTCCTGATCAGTTTTCTCTGGAAAAGCCATCACATACTAAATGTGCTTTGCTAATCCTGTAGGTAGGTGTGTGTATGTGTGTGTGTGTGTGTGTGTGTGTGTGTGTGTGTGTGTGTATGTATGTGTTTGAGACAGGGTTTCTCTGTGTGGACCAAGAGCTGGCCTTGAACTCACAGAGATCTGCCAGCCTCTGCCTCTCAAGTGCTGGGATTAAAGGCGTGCACCACCAACGTCCACCAGCTTTCTATTCTTATCTTTAAGAAGGTCTAATAGGGATAAGTAAACTTAATCTCTTAACACCTTGGAAGTGAATTTTTGTTTTGTTTTTGAGACAGCATTTTTCTGTGTAGCCTTGACTGTCCTGGAACTCTATTTGGTGACTAGGCTGGCCTTGAACTCAGAGATTTGCCTGCCTCAGCCTCCCAAGTGCTAGGGTTAAAGGCATCGATTTTTAATGTAACCTATGAAATCATGTGGATTGTTTTTGTTTTGTTTTTTTTTTTTTTGAGACAGGGTCTCACTATGTGGCCCTGACTAGCCTTGAACTCTCTATGTAGATCAGGATGGCCTCAAAACTCAAGAGATCTATCTGCCTCTGCCTCTACCTCCCGGACGCTGGGATTAACAGGGTGAACCACCATGCCCACCCCTGTATTTTGTTTTATGATTTGAATTCCTTTTTTCTGAAAAGTACATTTAAGTAGACTGCCAAACAGCATAAAGAGTAATATTTGATTTAGCTGAATTTAGAGCATAATGGATATAAATGTAACATTTACCCATTAATGCTGGTCTCATTGCATCTCTTTTGTTTGAACCATTATAACATGTATTTTGTTTACATATATGCACAGTTTCAGATGACCTAAGAGTTCAACCACATGCGAGTCTTCCAACCCTCCTCTCCAAGTATTAAGATAAATGCAGGTATTTCCGGCTGTCAGTTGTACGCACACACACACACTTCTGTCGCATCTCGTTCTGCACGGGCACACTTGAGGAAAATGTCACCTACAGTGTGAAAACCGGAAAACTACAGCCTCACAGCAGAGGTTCTCTGCTACCCTCAGTCTGCAGAACAAAAGGGTACATTTAAGAGGAACAGGCAAAATCAACAACACCTCAGTTACAACGATAATTTAACCAAGCTCTGCTAGTTTTCTGGTGTGTTTAATAGGTATTTAAAAAAAAAAAAGGTAGGGGAGCAATTTATGATTATATTTAACTAGGTTTACTCATTTGTGTGTGGGGGAGATACACAAAGGGAGGTAAGGAGGCAACTGGGAGAGCTCCTCCCTTTCCTGGGATCAAATTCAGGCTGTCAGGCTTGGTGGCAAGGGCCTTTACCAACTGAGCTAATTGTTAGTTCTTAAAAAAACAAAATCAGTTGGGGCTCTGGTCTGAATCAATGGCCCTGCAGCCTTCCCCACAAAATGCTCATAAAAGGTGTACACGCTGTAGGACACCCCGAATGGGACCTCTTTCATGCCTGTGCTTTGCGATTCCCACATACTCAACAGCTAGTCTCTTCACTTCTGAGTAAGAGAGAAGGCATTCTGGTCCATCAGCTCCCCTACTCGCTCCTGGAGGACACTGACCAGCTCCGCAATGACAAAAACATGTGTGTCATCAATGTCTTGAATGATGAACTTCTTCCCCAAGGCGTTGGACTCATCCAAATACAGCAAGAACTGCTTCATGGCAGGGTCGCTGTGGAGACAAACGCACATTACAGGGCATCCTGTGGTCAACCGCACCACACAGACCTGAGCAATCACATCTGCGCATGATGCATTTTTAAAGTTCGGAGCTATTACTTTCTCTCTGCTTAAAGTACTAGTGACTTCTCTTGAAAGACAACTTCAAGAGAAAGGCTTTTAAAGAACAACTCCTCAGTCACAAGAGGAGAGAATATGGCTATCCCTCTGCAGGGCTTAGACCTACAGCTTCCTTAATTGCTTTGAAACAGCAATGTCCATACTCACTGACAGAGAGCACACGGAGCAACAAAAAGCGCAGAAGAGTCTACTCTAGGAGCCCATGGGGTTTCCTGTAACATCTTCACTGTAAGCCTTCCTGTCTTTCCCACATCCCAGTCGGGACTTACTGCTGCAGAGACCCAGACTCCAGGGGGACTGGCCACATCTCCCGGTTCAGCCTTTTACCTTCCTGGAGTATTTCCTGCTTCAGATCCCCTCCTAACTCAACAGTAGGTGGTTGTTGTTTTTAAACTGACTTTGTTAGAATCTCATCCTCCCAAAGTCTCCATCTGTGTTATCCCTGTGGTAGCTCATGAATCATGTGTTACTACAGAGTATTTGGTATGCTGTAAAAGTAGGATAGATATCGGACTCTGAAGGTGTTTTTGCAGACTTAGTACATGGGGATGGTTCAGCGGCTGAGAGCAGAGGACCCAGGTTCAGTTCCCAGCACCCATATGGTGGCTCAGAGCCTGTTCCTGACTCAGATCCAAAGCTCTGGTCTAATCGCCCTAGGAACCAGGCACAGATGCAGGCAATCTCACACACCCAAAAATAAAAACAATGACTAAGTTGGGCCATCTGGGTTAAATACTTCACCTGTTTTCATTTCACACTTAACTGCCGTTACTAGAAAATTTAAGACTGTATGTGGCTTAAACTGTATTTCCAATGTTCGGTTACTGCTCCAAACGTTGCAGTTTCCTAGGATTTGACCTTGCTACCCCTTCAGCTTTGCCACCACAGGAAAAGCATCACCACCATCTATACAAGGACTCACAATGAGGGAAACAGAAAAGGAGCCGGTAGCATCTTCAAGGATGGGAGCGACTGTCCAGAAAACAAGGCTTCCAACAAGGGAAAACTGCACAAAGAGCTCAAGGCTGAGGAGCGACAACAAAGGCCTGTACCTTTGAACTCAGCTCTGCAACTGTTATTGTGGCTTCTCGCTTCTCCTTTGGAAGCTATGCTACGGAGTTGAAAAATCTGCTCCCATATCTTTTCAGGGAGCACATTCTGTAGTGGCAAAGACTTAACCAAGGTCCTGTGTTATTTTATTTGTTACTTTTTTTTTTTTTTTTAAGACAAGTTTTCACTGTATGGCCTTGGCTGGCCTAAAACTCACTATACAAACCAGGCAGGACTTGAACTCCTAAGAGATCTGCCTGCTTCTATCTCCTGAGTGCTGGGACTAAAGGCCTGCCCCACCTTCCTGAATTACTCTAAACACTAATCTAGGCAAGTGCTCATGGCTTGAGAATAAACACTCTCTTTGCAGCCTGTCCTGACTGGCCTTGAACTCAAGAGATCCACCTGCCTTTGTCTCCTGAGTGCTGGGATTATAAAGGCGTGTGCCGTCCCAGTTTCTCTAATCCAGGGTAATCGAACACACGTGTCTCCGATCAAAAGATTGTTGGAAATAACTTAATTACATTAATTTAACAGACAATGAAATATAACACCAGCAAGAAAACTTAGCAACAAAGTCTGTCCCACTCAAAGAGAGCTTTTGGAGACTCGAAGTTGAAGCCTTGTTTTCATTTAGGCCAACAAAACAAGATTTTGGAAAGGCGTGCACACACACAGCAAGATCGGTTGTGTCTATTTAAAAGCTCACTAAGTTTTAAAGCTACAAACCATTCTATCAGTACTCCTTTCAAGACGTTCACCATCTTCTCCCGGATAGGCGGTGCAGACGACCCCAAGAATGCTAAAATAAATAAAATTTAAAAAGATAAAGTGACGTAAAATTTCAACCTACTTGGGGGATTTACATCTAAGATGAAATGAAAAAATAAGTGTCAGTATTAAAAAACTAATACTGACGGTCCCATTTTTACCGACGTTAAAGCAGACTATATGGAATATTAACAAAGCACAAATCCTACTTGCAAAGAGATTCTACTCATGGCTAGTTAATCCTTAAGAAGTAAGTGCCAAACACATTGCGGGAGGTGCAAGCTTTGAATCCCGGCCCAGCCTGGGCTACATAGAGACCAGGACTCAAACAAAACAAAAAAAGATCCATTACTTCAAATCAAGGAACCCAACACAGGTGTTAAATGTTCATTATTCAAATGTTTTCTTTTTTTAACCAGGAGAACCAAACAAAGGCAAGATTACCCGGCCGAGCCGGGTGGGGTGGGAGGCAGAAATTACAAAATGGTAGTTCTGAAAAAGGCCTCAAAATTAGTGATCCACAAATTTTGGATCAAATACCTGGTCAAAGTAGGCAATTTTAATGTACAAACATCCAGGTCTTGCCATCGACCATCCTGCAAAGATCTGCATCGGAGGAGCCAACCGAAGGATGCCTGTGGTGTCTACACCCAGGCATGGGAACCGTCCCTTGCAGGAAATCCGTGACGCATGCGTGACCGCCCCGCGTCTTCCCCCCCCCAACACCACGGGCCTTAGGAAGGGTGCGCGACTCCGGCCCGTCCACGGGACCGGCAGGCTCCGTGTCTCTTCCCCTCCTCCCCTCCGTTTTGCCGACGAGTCCCCACGCAACCTACTTTTCCAGGCGGCTCACAGCCTGCAGCCCTCCTCCGCCCACACGCCCGGGACCCGTCGCGGCGTCGCCGACCCACTGCGCCTGCGCCGCGCGTCATCGCGCGCCGCGGCAGCCTAGTGGGTGGGGCGATCGGCTGGGGGCGGGGCCCGGGGCGGGGCCAGGCGTTCGTCGGGGCGGGGCCACGTGCCTTCCGCCGCTGGGCCAGGGATCAGGTCGCGGAGGGGAGAGCGCGGTGCAGCCGCCTGTGTCCGTCGGGAGCGGAGTCCAACGCCGGCAGGTAGGGCGGGCGGGCGGGCTCGTGGGCGGGCGAGGGCGTCGCTGCAGCTGCGGGAGGGGAGGGCCGTGGCCCTGCACGGACTCGGCGTCCCGCAAGGTCGCACGGCCTCGGAGGGACCCGGTGACCCGCCGCGGCCCTTTCCTAGGGCCTGATTCTGGCCCTCTTCTGGAATGATGGCTGCGCTTCCCGGGTTGCTCCTGAGGCTTGGAGGAGGGCGCCTACGTGCTGGTGTGCGGGGGCTCTGTGATCTCATGAGCCACACCTGTGTCTTTTCAGGCCGCGTCTTTGCTCTTGTCTCACCTGGGAGACTTAGTAGCTGGAATGCTGCTGATGGGTCTCTAAATCCTGTAACCCTCGTTAAAAAAAAAAAAAAAAATGGTGAAGGCCTCACGGAAGGTTCTGAAGTTAATCCCACCCCCAAATTTGGATCTGTGGTTTTTTTTTTTAAAGTTAATTAAAATTTTTTATTTGCATTGGTATTTTGCCTGCATGTATGTCTGCCTGAGGGTGTCGGACGGGTCTTGGAGTTAGAGACAGTTGTGAGCTGCCATGTGGGTGCTGGAAACTGAACTCTAGTCCTGTGGAAGAGCGGTCCGTACTCTTAACCGCCTAGCCACCTCGGTAGTTGTAGCTTGGTCATTACATGTCCACATTTAAGCTCGTGCTAATTTTTGTTTCACACTGTCTTCTCCTTTTAACAAGCCTCGCCTTTCCACTTATTTCCCTCTCTCGGTTCCTCAAACTTCTTTAATTTTTTTTATATTTATGTCTACACATATGTAGATGGGGGTGTCATGCAAGTGCCACAGTGCAGGAGTTGCAGTGGTCAGCGTGTGGGTCCCTGGGATGGAACTCGGTTCACCAGGCTTGGCAACAAGCAAGAGCCTTATTTGCGGAGCCATCTCGCCAGCCGTGGGCCCTCATACTTTTTCCTCTGGTTCTTTTCCACATTGCCATGCTGTGTCCACTCTTTGAAAACTGCCCCAAGTTTGCTTTTCCCAGGCGTCTTGGCTTTATTTTCTTTCTTTGATCCCCAAGGCTCTTTTAAACAGCAACAAAGTAACAGGGCATGGTGCGCGAAGCTTAGGACTCTTGTCTCTTTGGAGGCCGAGGCCCGTGAATCACAAGTGGGAGGCCAGCCTGGGCTACATAGCAAGATCCTGTCTCAAATAAAAGGGTCAAAACTGGAGCCTTTGTACGACCTGACACAGGACTTGTTGTTTAGAGCTCAGCATGCATTTGCCTGTGCTGTGTATATCTAGGTCCCCGGCTGGGGCTGCTCAAGGGTCCTGGTCTGAAGGCCATTTTGACCAGGGGGGTGAGGGGTGGGTGAGATTGTGCCTGTTGAAGCTGAGTCCCTTATCCATCACCATCACTCATGCCAGCCTCTGGTAGTGGATTTGAATTGGCTTTGCGGCAAGGCCATCTACCTGTTGCTTGATAAAATCTGTCAAATGCCTAAAGGCCCATGGGCCAAAAGAAAAAAGCTATATAAGACCCACAAAGGGGCCCAAAAGACTAGGCAGTAAAGTGGATAACCAAAGGGAGGTCCTTGTGTGGTAACCAGACGGACAGTCTGGTGTTCTTAATAATAGGTCACTGAAGGTGAGCGGGTTATCTGCTAAGAGGGAATGCAGCTGGAGAGAAGCAGGCTGTTAGCAGGGGAAGAGGTCTCTGGAGTTAACTGTAGAAGGAGGGGTTACTAAGTAACCTAACTGTATTCCTATGCCCTAAATTTCACTGCTCAGGAAGTTGGGGAGGGGGAGAAGGTAGATCAGGACTGAAAGTAGCAATCTTCTAACTCAATGGGCTATTCTAAGAAAAAGCTGGCAATCCCGAAGGCTTACGCCAAGATCTCTCCTGGCAGTTCCTCCTCCCCCCTCCCTTTTTTTTCCAAGTAAGAAGGTATCTTATCTCGCCATGAGTGGGAGCAGGGATCCTGGTCCCCCTAGATGGTTATGTGACGTATATCCTGAAGCAAGCTAACCCAGCCTTCGCTGGTGAGAGCGCTCAGGCCCACCGCCATGCCTTTTGAGGAGGGAAGGGTTTTTCTGACATCAACCTTCATGCGACCAGGCATACTCCCATGAAGCCCAGGGTAGGCGCCTTTGGCAGCCTCTTCATTGCACTCACACGAGGTGCACCTCGGCCGGAGATGTTTTAGTTTTTTCAAACTCCCAGCGTCCCTGGGAAGTGGCTCTCTTGGTTGTGGGTGGTCACCTTCTAAAGGCTCCCTGTGACCACACTCCTTGAGGTCAAGCCTGTGATAGTGTACTTGGATAGGCTTTGCCCTTAGGGAGTCGATCTATATTGGCAGATAAAGCCAGTTAACCTCTTAATGGCCCAAGGGCCTAAGGCAAGCAGAATTAAGAAGCCGGCAAGGGGTCCTAAAATGGAAGGGAGGGGCGTGGTAAGCCGTGGTGAGTGGAACCAGCCTAGTTTCTGTTCTGGCTGCTTCCTTCTCTTTTCTAGCCCTTGTCTGACCTAGGCCATACTACTGTCCGTTGTCACATTGTCACTCCTGTGATCTGTGTAGAAGCAACATTCTTTCTTGTTGTTTAAAAAAAAAAAAAAAAAGGTCTAAGAGCCTTGTGCCTTCTGGAGAATGACCTCTGAGAGAGCAAGTATATACCATGTTCTTCTTTTTGTGACTGGGTTATCTCATTCAGGATGTTTTTTTTTTTTTTTCAAGTGACATCCAATTGCCTGCGAATTTAAAGATTCCATTATTTTTTTTTCTGTAGAGTAGTATTCCATTGTGTAGATGATGTGTCACATCTTCTTTATCCATTCTTCAGTTGAGGGGCATCTAGGCTGCTTCCAGGTTCTTGCTATTACAAATAGTGCTGCTATGAACATAGTTGAGCACATGTCTTTGTAGCATGGATGTGGATCATTTGGGTATATGCCTAAGAGGGGGACTGCCGGGTCCTGTGGTAAACTAATTTCCATATTCCTGAGGAACCGCCATACTGACCTCCAAAATGGCTGTACGAGTTTGCACTCCCACCAGCAGTGGAGGAGTGTTCCCCTGTCTCCACATCCTCTCCATCATGAGTTGTCATTGGTGTTTCTAATTGTAGCCATTCTGGCAGGGATAAGATGGTATCTCAAAGTTGTTTTGATTTGCATTTCCCTGATAGCTAAGGATGTTGAGCACTTTCTTAAGTGTCTTTCAGCCTTTTTGATTTCCTCTATTGAGAATTCTTTCTTCAGTTCTGTACCCCATTTTTTAAATAGGGTTATTTGGTGTTTTGTTGACTAGTTTCTTGAGTTCTTTGTATATTTTGGAGGTCAGCCATTTGTCGGATATAGGATTGGTGAAAATCTTTTCCCAGTCTGTGGGCTGCCGTTTGGTCTTGTCCACTGTGTCCTTTGCCTTACAAAAGGTTCTAAGTTTGAAGAGGTCCCATTTATTAATTGTTGCTCTCAGTGTCTGTGCCCCTGGAGATATGTTCAGGAAGCAGTCTCCTATACCAATTTGTTCAAGGGTCCTACTTTCTCTTCTAAGAGGATCAATGTAGCTGGATTGATGTTGAGGTCTTTGATCCATTTGGATTTGAGTTTTGTGCATGGCAACAGACATGGGTCTATCTGCAGTCTTCTACACACCCTCATCCAATTGTGCCAGCACCATTTGTTGAAGATGCTGTTCTTGCCCCGTTGTATAATTTTAGCTGTTTTGTCGAAAATCAGGTGTTCAAAGGTGTGTGGGTTAATATCAGGATTTTCAATTCGATTCCATTGGTCTACCTGTCTATTTTTGCTCCAATACCAGGCTGTTTTCAGAACTATAGCTCTGTAGTAGAGCTTAAAGTCAGGAATGGTGATTCCTCCTGAAGTTCTTTTATTGTATAGGGTTGTTTTGGCTATCCTGAGTCTTTTTTTTTTTTTTCCATGTAAAGTTGATTATTATGTTTTCAAGGTCAGCGAAGAATTGCGCTGGCATTTTAATGGGGATTGCATTGAATTCTGTAGATTGCTTTTGGCAAAATTGCCATTTTTACTATGTTTATCCTGCCTATCCAAGAGCATGGGAGATCTTTCCATTATCTTCTTTAATTTCTTTCTTTAGAGCCACAAAGTTCTTATTATATAGGTCTTTTACTTGTTTGGTAAGCGTTACCCCAAGATATTTTATGTTGCTTGTGGCTATTGTAAAGGGTGATGTTTCTCTGATTTCTTTCTGTCTCTTTGTTGTCTGAAAAATATAGGGCTACTGATTTTTTTGAGTTTATCTTGTATCCTGCTAGTTTGCTGAAGGTGTTTATCAGCTGTAGGAGTTCCCTGGTAGAGTTTATTGGGTCGCTTATGTAAACTATCATATCATCTGCAAATAGAGACAGTTTGACTTCCTCCTTTCCAATTTGGATCCCCTTGATCTCCTTTTGTTGTCTTATAGCATTAGCTAGAACTTCCAGTACTATATTGAAGAGATATGTTGAGAGAGGGCAGCCTTGTCTTGTTCTGATTTTAGAGGAATCGGCTTAAGTTTCTCTCCATTCAGTTTGATGTTGGCAGTTGGTTTGCTGTATATTGCTCTTATTATGTTTAGGTATGTTCCTGTTATCCCTGATCTCTCCAAGACCTTTATCATGAAAGGGTGTTGAATTTTGTTGAAGGCTTTTTCAGCATCTAAGGAAATAATCATATGGTTTTTCTTTTTCAGTTTGTTTATATGGTGGATCACGTTGATAGATTTTTGTATGTTAACCATCCCTGCAATTCAGGGATGAAGTCTACTTGGTCATGGTGGATGATTTCTCTGATGTATTCTTGAATTCGGTTTGCCAGTATTTTATTGAGTACTTTTGCATCGATGTTCATCAGGGATATTGGTCTGTAGTTTTCTTTCTTAGTTGGGTATTTGTGAGGTTTGGGTACCAAGGTTATTGTGGCCTCATGAAAAGAGTTTGGCAATGAACCTTCTGTTTCTATTTTGTGGAACAGTTTGAGGAGTAGTGGTATTAGTTCTTCCTTGAATGTCTGGTAGAATTCTG